TGACCGTTGATGCTTAGCCAATGACCGTCGATGGTTAGCCAGTGATCGTCAATGGTTAGCCAATGACCGTTGATGCTTAGCCAATGACCGTCGATGGTTAGCCAGTGATCGACCATGGTTAGCCAAAAGCCACCGCCGTTGCTGTGTGGATGACCGGCCCGCACTGCGATCGATCGTCTCGCATTTGTTTCGCGTTCTTGTCAACGCCAAACTCGCTCGCTCGCCTACGAGCGTCGAGCGGAATACGAGAGAGAGAGAGGAGAGAGAGAGTCTTGCGACCCAACAGGCACAGATTAAAGAGTCGAACTCGTCATGTTGGTGCCACGTGGAGCAGTCGTGACTTGATGTCTCTCGCTGCGGCTGCGGCGTCTTCGTCTCGCGGACGTTGGGTTCTCGGCAAGGTGGGGGGGGGGGGCAGTCGCATAACTTGCGTGGGGGTAGGGGGTGCCTTGTCCCCCCTGGTGGCCAAAGCTACGAGTTGGGCCCCCCCCCCCCCGATAACCACTATAAGAGACAAATCTAATATTGGGGCCCCTCCCAATCGATTGCCGCACCCCCTGAGCTGATGATGTAGCTACTACGCCACTGGTGGGGACAGTGTTTGTTGGGTCGAGAGAGGGCCTAGGTGTGAATGGCGTCCACCGTCCTGTTCAGTGTCGCCCCCCGCCCCACCACCACCACCAGAGAACGCTTTGCCGGCTGTCATATCCGCATGTGAATGTCAGACATCCCACGAGGCTGCTCAAGAGTGAGCCATTGTGTGCTGTTTCATGGCCAAATTAGCCACCTGTTGTTAGGCATCATATCTCCGTGTCCCGGCACACGCCATAAAACAACAGAGCTTCCTTGTGCACGAAAGCCGTGCGGCACTGCACCACCACAGCCCTGTGTGTGTGTCTGTGTATTGTGTGCGTGGGGCTACACGTGGCGTGGTGGGGAACACGCGAGAGGAGACATCTGTAAGGCCACCGGGGTCTTTAACCCCGTAACACCTGAGGGTCGTGTTCCGTACCCTACTACCTGGGGGTAGCCTTTGGCTCTCTCCATGTCCTCGAAGTGCACCTGGCCTGGCACGAGTTCAACGGTGGCGTCGCTGCCGCTTGACGGCGAACGGTGGCTGCTGTTGTGGGGAGCGTGCAGCGCGCACACGCGCATGTGTGCGGGGAGCAGTGGCGTAGAGGTGAGCGCGCTGCGCTACGAACCTGGCGACCCGAGTTCGATTCCTCCTCACGACCAACAATGGTGGCGATTATCTGAGCCGTTCCTGGGCCTCCCCTAGGTCGACTCAGCTTCAAATGAGTACCTGGCGTGGTGTAAAGATCACCAATGGGGAGACAAAGGCGGCCGGGCGTGGTGCTGGCCACCCACCCCCTCGTGTGCCGTCCCGAAATTTATAGGTGCTCGCTCACAGCGCTTGCCCCAACAGTCTGTTACGACTATACTGGGGTTATCTGTCTTTGTGTTGAGCAGTGGCGTGGTGGCTCGCACATTAAGCTATAATTCAAGTGACCCTGCTTCAGTTCCTGGTTGGCTGCAACGATATTTTATTGTTACATCCTTCTTCTTTCGTACGCACTAATAGCAGCAGATTCAATACGTAATTTTAGATGTTGTTATCCACTCAATTGTTTGTTCAGACGCAGAGTGGATCTCGTCCGATGGTTTGGGATTCGTGGCCGCACACTCGAGGGCATTGTTACATTGTAGGACCATGAGAGACGGCGATGACTTGGGGAGGTCTTCGTCCAACAGTAGACGGAGCGTGGTTGATTGATGATGATGTCTCATCTTTATATCGTAAATATTAAAAAAAATCTTTCTTTAAACATCTGGACAGGATGAGCAGAAGCTGCTCCCACAACCCGTCCTGGTTAAAAAACAAAAACGTCGTTGACATGAAAATGGGACTGCTGATGCTTGTGTGAGTGCTGACCTATCTGTAACCTGGAAACTGCCTTTCCCAGTAAGCAAGGAAAAAAAGTTAATTGAAGCTCGTGGCCTAAGGGGTGGCAGATGAGGCAGCATGACTGCGCCTGGAAACAATGATCCACAATTGTCTTCAGCTAATGACTCGGCTTTCCACTTAAATATTAACTTTTTTCGTGCTTGACGTTATGTGGCCATAACTTTGCTTTACGTTTAGTAACCGGTGGCCTTCTCGCAGCCTTGCGATGTATTTCACGTCATATAACACGGCTCAGCCATGCTGTGTGTGCAAGGTCACGAGTTCAAATCCTGGCCGGAGGGGAAACTCGGCCTTATAATACCTCTGGGAATCTTTAAAATGAGCACCACTTTGTGGCGAGTGACATATGGTGGGGGGTTTTAGTGTGGAACCCTCCACTTCCTCCAGCACGCTGGCCAGCGTGGATGAATAGACCAAGCACCACCGGAGGCCCTCTAACGAAGGCCCCCTTCTTTGCCAGCAGTGAGCGTTTTAATCACAGCGCTGCGCCCGTGCCATTTTGATCCGACGAATACACCGGCCACCTGCAAAGAAGGGAAGCAGAATTGACCACGCCGACTCACGGCCGCCAGCAAAACCACGAGCGCCACCCCAATGCTCGTTTTAGTCAACGGAGATGCTCAGCGTTGATTTTACTTGAGAGGGAGGGGGGGGGGGGTACCACCAAGACGATCCGAGGTGATAATTTGTCTGATCTTGTGCGGTGTTGATGCAACTCCCCTTTTGCTTGACATCCCGGGGTTTTAGAATCTGGGCGGATGCCCAGTTCGAAACAAACTCGTCCAGTTGTCCCTCCTATGGCTCGGAGAAGCCTCGGTTATAAACCGAACCAGGTAAGCGATTTAATTGGTGTCCCAGGCGTTGTAGACACGGGGCTTGGCGGTGAGGTGTCGCCAGGACATCGCAGCGCAGAGGGTCACCCTCCCCTGGTGGATTTTTTCCGGGTTCTCACGAAGCCAAACGCGCCCGTAATGGAAAATAGTCAAACATTCAAATGGAGGACCCTCTTAGGATTGATTTTTTTGTGAGGCTTGGTAATTGCTGATGTGGAAGGATTTTTCGTCTCACTAAATATAGTCTGCCATAGTCCCATTGGGCTTAAACAAAGGTACTCGGTGGCTTTTGTGGGTTAGATCGCGTAAATATCAATGTGTTGTGGAACCCGCCGCCACCCGACACAGACAATTTAGAAGGTTTGTCACCTAAAGAAAACGTGCCAGTTGGAGAGTAAACTCCTCACAACATTTGCAATTCGAGTACGACGTTTCGCCGATAATTACAACCAGCCTCATTATGATGAATTGAAAATGTTGTGGGTTTACTCTCCAACACACTGGTGTGCTGAACTCGTAACTAATTGGCATGTTTAATTCACGCGACAAACCTCGCAAAGTGTCTGTGTCGGGTGGCGGCGAGTGTAACGACGCATTTATATTAACGCGATCTAATCCCCAAAAAACCCTTATTTATGGATATTGGTCGGCGAAAGGCTACAAATACTACGTGTTAAACTACTATTACTACTCCGTGTTAAACTCAGTCGCTTTGGACAAACACACGCCGACACAACAACATTGCTTGGCTGTTGTTGTCTGAACACGAGCTCTTCGTTCGTTTATATTTGGCCCGTGGTGGTGTTCGATGACCACAGTGTTAAGAGCAGTAGTTCTTAACCTTTACTGCAGCCTTGCACCCCTTTTGTCCTCAATCGTAAATCCAAAAAGTACGATGTTAATAGATGCATAAGTTTAGTGAAACAAAGTAGTTGTACTTACGTGCCCGTACTTATTTTGTCTTTCGATGATTTACCTTCGAAAAAAAATCTGGCCACGTCTCGCACTGCCAGAAAGGGCATCTCGCAGCCCCACGGGGAATGCATGCACCTTAGGTTAAGAAGGACCACTGGTTTAGAGGATGGTGGCCCTCATGGCTGTAGCCTGTCCCTGAAGTGCCGTGTGCATTGTGGCAGTGGTGCTAAATAAGCCCCCACCCCCCCCGCCACCTTTCTCTTCTCGACATAGCTCAGCACTGATGGACGACACAGGAACGCCATCAATTCTGCCCTGCTCCTCAACAAAAAAAAACCCGACACACGCTTGGCAATTTACAACTTTTCAAATAGTCAAGGCCATCGTTTTGCCAAATATGAATTCGTTTGAACCGAGGGAAACCCTTTGCCAGCAGGGTATACCTTTAAACACGGACAAAGGTGCATACCTGCAATTGCCTGCCCTCGCTATTGCTGGTTAAGCGACCTCTGCCATGAGGAGCTCTAGAAAGTCCCTTTACGGGGTATTTGGCCTCTTATTGGATAAACGCGATGCTGTGAAGAGCAGCCGTGCACTTGGCTTTGGATCATTCCTTCCCTGCGGCAGCGTCACTCACACCTTTGCTATCACACATTAGCGAAGTTCAGCAGCGTGCAGAGCTGCGATAATGGGGGCATCCCATTGTTACTGCTGCTCAGTAAATGTTAACGAGGGGGCGCAAAATGAAATAGCTTGGTAACAGCTGGTAACGGGAAGCTGCCTCGGTAGCCATGCATCCTTCCTGTGCAAGAGACGAAGCAAAGACAAAGATCCCCCGTATAGCCTGAACAGACTGTAGGGGCAAGTGCTCTTAGCGAGCACCTATGAAGGCCGGCACGGCACACGAGGAGGTAGGTGGCCAACACCACGTCCAGCCGCCTTTATCTCCCCAGTGGCGATGTTTACACACCACACCAGGTACTCATTTGAGGCTGAGTCGACCTAGGGGAGGCCTGTGACCGGTTTAGATAATCATCACCGGTGTTGGCTGTGAGCGGGAATCAAACTTGGGTCACCGGGTTCGTAGCGCAGCGTAGCGCTAACCGCTCCACCAATGCTCCACCAAGAGACTAAGTACGCACGCTTCACTCTCTATCCCCCCTCTTTTTTACCCTTCTTTGTTACCCTTCTTTGTTACCCTCCCCACCTACTTTACACCCCCCCATCACCCCTTACCCTTTTACCCCCCCCCCTCCTCATTTACACCCCCCCCCCTGCACCCGCAGTCATTGTGTCGTTGCCTCTGCGTGGCCACGCCTCCTGGCCACGTGTTTCCACTTCGAGGCGTTTTGGTTTTTGTCCTCTGCACGTGCCCTGGCTGTCGATCCGGAGGTGCTGCTTTCACACGGAGGCCGGGCGCACGCGGAAGTTTCCGTGCGCAACCAACGGGATGGCACGACGTCACAAAGGCGATGGTCACACGTCACAAAGGCGATGGTCACGCACGTTTATTTATTTTAATTGATAACTTTAGGCAATTTTTTTTACATTTCACACCAATTATATCACGAGTGTGCCATCAGTAATTCGGTACACAATGGCTCTGTTTGATTCATGTTAATTGCCGACGAGCAACCACCGTGCAGGTGGTTGTGCTCTTGCTGCTGCATGGCTCTGCGATTGCTTATTCGCGTCGTACCCACGTGATGCTCGGCGCGGTGTCCGCCGTTTAGCTCCATGGGCGGAAAGGGAGGGAGCCTCCTCGGAATCGGTAATTAGAGAAAGCTCCCAGTGCGTGGAGCTAAAACGTCGGACACCGTGCCAAACAACGCGCAGGAAGACCTGAAAACACGTCGCCCCAATGAGGAGGATCACACTTTTGATCGCACGCATTAATCTGTGTTAATGACTTTCTTTTCTGTGCCATTTCCTAATTTGTTTAACCATTTTAGATTTTGCCATTATAGTGTGGGTTGTTATTTGCTTGGTAGTGGGTGTATATGGGATTTGGTCCTCATATATATATAATTCATGCACAGGAAACTATTGGCATGAATGGTGCAATATAAAATGAAAGTATTATTACCAGACAATGTAGCCCAGAGAGAGTGATTTGGAAATGTACTTGAATTATCCAGGACTCCTATTCAGGTGGGTCCTTTATTGGATTTCTATTTTAAGATGTTTGCAGTCATAATAATTAATGAGTGTATAAAAGTGGGAGGAAACCGGAGCACCCCGAGAAAACCTACACCCGCGAGGGAGCAATGCTCTATCCACGTACAGATGGAAACAGATGGTGATTAGTCCACTTGCTGTACCGCCGTCTCCTGGCGAGCCAAGGTATGGCACCTCGACGCAGAAGGGAAGGGAGTTTCACGATATTTGTGTGATGCACCAACCCTCACCTCCACAGTGCTAGATTACAGATGTAATGACAGTATAGTCAGTGTAATGATAGTAGAGCTTGCAGTACGAAGGGACTGGTGATCGAGAATGATCGGGAATAGGAGCATGGCCAGGTGACGGAAGAGGACTGTAGAGTCTGCCGGTAGAGGGAGCGTCCAGAATCAGCGAGAATGATCGAGAAGGAGGGCGTGGCCTCGTGCCGATATAAGGGAGAGAGCACTGGAGATTCGGGCCTGTTGCAGTGGGGATCTCTGCCTGATGTCAAGTGAACGTGTCTTCAATAAAGAAACCATCTGAAGACAAGTGTGTCAAGTCGTCATTACACAGGCATGCTCCAACACCATAAATTAAGTGCAATATCTAAATACGGTGGTTACTATGTTGGTGCATTCACTGGTGATTGGGGCACAATCACAAAACTCTCTGTACTTGTGAAAGTTATGTTATCTTCGTCAGGAGACCGGGCATAAAACCCAAAAATCTGTGGTATAGTGGCTTCTTTCTCAGACACAAGCAATCCGTTCACATTGTTAGTCATGATTAAATTAAGCAATATTCTCTATTGGTATGCTTAATGTTCTGAGCCCAATCACTAATGACTGCACAAAACATAATCACGTTAACTTTGGTCCTAAACTTAATTTGGATAAATTTAAACTCTAAAAATGAATATATATTGTTACGTGAAGAACGTTACCCTCAAGTGAGAAAGTGTTACCCTTCTACTGTGCAGAGCCGAGGTCAATTGAAGGGATCTCAGATGTAGCTCTGTAACATCTGCCACCTTGGGCTGTTTTATAACACCAACGGTTGCCACTGCTCTGCATGATATTTGGACGGATTCTTCATATCATTGTCATCACACTGAATGCACAATTGAAGAAGAAGAAAAGTAACTATTTAAAACACATCTTGGCTAAAAACTATACAAATACCTCGTGTCAATATTCTGATACACCGATGGGCATTGGGTGCTGCTCATCTCCACTGGCAACCCCAGGTCAGTGGTGGAAATTCCACATTCATATGGCAGAGGTCAGTCTCAAAAAGACATCCACTGCAGACAGAACAAGTGTAATTTATCAGTTAACTTTGGATATAAACAGCTACAAAACATATAAGGACGTCTGCATTGTGTCAGCAACAATGGCATCTACAATAAAAAAAAATCTTCTCTTTTGCAAAATCATTCATTTACGTTATTCAGAACCCTTACCCGTGAATAGATTTACGTACGAATCGGTGCGATGCGCGGCGTGCAGGAGAGCGTTAACTCCGCGCGGAACACGCGTTCAAAGAAAACCCCGACGCATTCCACACACCGAACAATCCACGCCGTTCCGTGCGCTCATAACCAAGCACGAGATTGCACTGAAACGTCTCGCTTTATCTGCGTGCAGCGCCGATAATGGGGGGGGGGGGGGGGGGGGAACGCATAAAACACCTTCGGGGGCATTCTGCAAGGGGTGCGTGATGCGACGTGACCATGCTGAGGTGGTGACAATGGTGACTACAGCAGCCCACTGCTGTTTTATTTAATCCTCTACGATCCCGCAGCTGGAAACGCGCTGCACAATATGTTCCACTCGGGGTATGGAAAGCATGTGCGCATACTTGCTCAAGGGCAGCAATTTCCCCCGCCCGCTTGTCCCCCCCCCCCACATCCAGCCTCATACCTATGATATCACCGCATTTGGTTTAAGTGTACTTAAGTACACAAGCATCTATATGCGGGATTCCCAACCGATGCAGAAACTGCTCGCAGATATAGAACGCATTGGCCACTGTTGCAAGAAGTGTGAACTGCTTATAAATACGCGTTTGTTTACAGCAAAACTGATAATGCAATCGACTGCGGGATGAAGGCAACCCCAGGTTGCGTCAGTCATGTTGGGGGGTTGTTTTACCAGACTTCATTCGCCACGCTGGTCAGCACAGGTTGGTGAAATGGGTGGAATCCGAAGACCAGTTCCGATGTGATTCACCGTTCAATTGTCAGCCTTGCCAGGGGAATCGAACTCGTAGGATAGCCGCAAGACGTTCTTGGACTGCGTGAACACCCGGGCAACGAGACGCGCGCACACATTTGCGAGGGCTCCGCGTAAAGCCCCTCGGTTGAATGTGACAAATGTCAGCGGCACACGTGAGCGTTGCAAAAAGGTCTGCAAGCGATTAGACTCTGGGAAGTTATCGGATCCGCGGCGCTGGATCTGCCTAATGACACCGTGTGTGGTTCGAAGCGCTTCGACTCACAGTCGGAGGAAGGTTTCCAAAAGTTTAATTCTGGCAGGAGGTTGACTCGCCGTATACAATTGGGCGTTTCATCAAGTGGGACAAAGTGACTTTGCCCGATGAGCTGGAGTGAATAGGCGTACGTACGTTGGACTTCTTTCGCACCGTACGTAGCTAACCGGAGACGGCCGGGAGCGAGTGACACGTGCGTGCTCATGACGTCACGTCAAAGAGTTCAGAGCTGAAATGTTTGCACCAAATAACTAGAAACATCCCAAAGAACCCCGCATTTCTGAATGTGGTTTCTCTCACAGGGCAGGGGACAGGTTGACGTTCTAAATTGCTCTGCCTCGTGTTGAACACTTAACGATGAATAGATCGGCATCTTTTAATGAACGAAGCAATTCGGCTGCCGTACAGTGTGAGGCTAAAGCAAAATAAAGTGTCTGAAGGCTGCTATTGGTTACTCGTATCATCATCATCAAGCCGTGATCAGCCTAAATGGTATATTAACGCAAGATAAGATCTTTCCTAGGTGGTGAATAATGTTTCTTTTAAAATGAATCTGTCAGACATGGGTTGTTTGCTTTATTATCGTATTCTTGTAATTTGATAGTAATCACCATTTAGCCTATCTTAAATACGCTGCGCAATGTCCACGTTTAGTAAGCCCGATTCCTGTTTGCAGCAAGGTAGTGTGTGCTGCTGCTGCTGTATGGCAGAAATAATTTAAAGGCCGTGCCGTGTTCCACCCTTGACGTCAGTTTACTCGAACAAGTGGCACGAGGCGCCTTTCTGGAGTCACGGTGAAAAATAATCAGAAAATATTTCCATTTTGTGTCTGGAGATCAGCAAATTGCTTGAAGCTAGTGATGTCGTTCATAGCACGCGTGGTAGCGTTCGCAGGAGACACAAACCTCGCGCAAATACGCTAATAACATGAACTGTGTGAGATGCAAACACCAGAAGGGCTAAAAGGGTTTTGGCTAGTGGACCACTCCAAGCAAAGATAGGTCAAATGAATTCGCAAGATCTTTCTAGGAAACGAATAAGTGTTTTATTCTAAAATATGTTTGAAATTTCATATCATATTTCAGTCTTGTTTTCCCTCTACTTATATCACTTACGACAACGTTACAACGTTTCATATGTCTACACAATTCCCAGATCGTCCCTTCTGCTCATGCTGTATGTCAAGCTCCAAAGCGGCTGCTCTTGTTTCTTGTGTCGTCAACCCTCGTGCGGTGGCGTGGCCCAGCGGTAGCTCGTTGCAGAAGTTCGCGGTTCGGGACTAGCGGACGCCCTGGTAATTGTCCCGGTGGTTACGAGATTTTAAGTGCCTCGTCTGGTATACAGGAGGTCGTGGGTTGGATCCCGACCCTGACGCCTGTATATGTGGACATATTGGCGGTACACCAATGCAGCATAACACACTGATCCTCATTAAATAGGTCTAAAAGCTACATTTGAACTGACATTTGTCTTGCGACTGCTTTGACATCACGAGAACCACCCCACAAGGTTTTCTGACCGGGGTTGCGAATCGTGGGAAAATAAATAATTATCGCGAAAAATGTGCTTTTTCTATACCGCCACTACATTCATTTGGAGTCTGCGTGTCTCTCTCCCCGTGGTTCACGTGGAATTTTCTCTGGGTCCTCCGGTTTTCCCCTCCACATTTATAAACATGCGCTTTCGAGTATTTCACTGCTATACATATCATTTGTGGGCAGGTCGCGTCTGAAAACAGAGCTACATAGCCCAGTGGGCCTTGCCTGGTATTAAAAAAAAAATAGTTTTAAATATAAATAATACTGCGGGTGCATTAACCGTATAACTCCACACCGTCTGTTTCACAGTGGAGGCGAAAGATTCCGCGACATCACTCACAAGAGTTGTCCATTGTGTGCCAGCGTCATGGTCCAGTATTACACGCAGATTACTCAGTTGGAATCCACATGGCAAT